TTGAAGTGTAAACTTGTTTAATAAACCATATCTTTCATTTTCGATTTTTAATTCACGTAGTCCGGGAACTTTCCGGACAAACTGTGTATACGTCTCTTGTACACGTTGCGCGACGACGCACCGCTTTTCACGAGTGTGTTTTCTAGAGCATCCCTCCCGACGATCTTCGAGGTTTATTATTTTACACCTGACTCGACGACGACGACGACGACGACGACTACGCGAGTCGCCGACAAAGTAGTACGCGCGCCAATGTAATCGATATTTTACGCGCGAGCGGACGTGTACGATCGCTCTTCGACCTCGGACGTGTGCGCAATGAAATTTGTAATTATCGAGTTTTGTTTGCTCCCGTCGTCGTCGCGTTTATTTGTTTGCAAAGAGCATAATGACAAAGCGATTTTGTCATCCGCGTGAAAAATTTTCACGAGCAATCGCGTCGAGGTCAGACGAGATCGGTTCGTCCGTTTTATCGACGATTTCTCGACTTTTACGCGATCCTCGTAAAAAAAAAAACGCGATATTGCGAGATGACGTGGGAGTTCCCGCGAGGTTTCTCAAAGTGGTCGATTTATTTTTAAACGTCGCGCGCAAACAAGATCCGCGGAAAGTAGATTCGCGCGGCGGGCGTCTATTTTAATCCTATTTTATACTTGGAAAGTTTCAAATCGAACGATCGTCGAAGCTCTAATAGTTTCGATTATATGCGAACGCCGGTGTATGTTCCGCGCGTTCTCTAATCGTTCTAAATTTCTGTGTTCGCTGACACATGTTTTTTTAACAATTTTGCTTAATGAAAAAACATCATCGACATTCAATCACCCTCCGACATTAATGTCCTTCGTGTCCTTGCGTCTCGAATTTCTCTCCGTCTTGTTTTCTTAATACGAAAAATTCGCTCGATGAAATTTTCGCATCAACACGAGATGTGCGCATGCATGTGCGAATAACACACGGATGAAAAGCGCATCTGTCGTGCCAAACGGCGTGTCCTCGACCGATCGTTCCTACCTTGTCCTTGAACGTGAATCAAGTAACGTGAGCGTGTCGCGCGATTGCAAGGTGAAGAACTGCGAGGACGACGAGGTCGAGTCAGCGAATGCGGCGACACGTCGTGATAGCACGACAACCAACACCGCCATCGCCACGTCCAGGAGCAGCGAGGCGACAGCAGCAGCAGCAGCAGCAGCAGGTGGTGTTCGCAAGTGTTCGATACAGGAGGCCGAGGAGGAGGACGACGAAGAGGGCGGTCGCGGAAGAAAGCGGAAGAAGCGACGGAAAACGCGAAGCAAGCAGCCGCCGACGAAGTTGGAGGTGACGACGACGACAACGACGACCGGCAATGGCGGTCAGAAGCGATCGCACGCTGTGCTCACCCTCGCCTCGTCGTCCGACGAGGTCGAGGCGGTGGGCGAGTGCTCGAAAAGGGACTCGTCCAGCAGCCTGGGCGGCGGCAGTCGTCACAATACCCTGCGGGAATCGCTGCTGACGGTGCTGGGCAAGCTGGTGATCTGGAAAGGCACCCGGTACCGGTCGGCGACCGCTGCCTCGTCCACTTCGTCGGTGCCGCCGAATTCGCCACCCGCAACCGAGTGCATCGGTCGTAGCACGTCCTTCTTCTCCAGCGGTGAGTTCCCACGGCGAGATTCGTCGGCCGTTCCTTCCCGGGAAACTGCGCAGCTGGCTCGTATCAAGGTTTCTCCCAACCGGTTAGCGATAGCGATGCGGGATAGGTCACATCAATTAAAATCCCCGAAGACAAACGAAATAAATTGCAAATTAATGCGTTGCTGTTTGTTTTTTTTTTTTTTATTTGGTTTTTATTTTTTATTTCGAATAAACCGGGCAATAAAACAAGACAACGAGAGGACATTCGAGAGAACATCTGTTTTAGAAGAATTTTGGTTTGGTAGTCTTTCCTCTCTGCTAAATTTAAATTGTCTTAAATTCTTTTAAATTGTCTGCGATATATTTTACGTTACGTAACGTAGCACGCGTGTATATTGTATATGTTTCTCTCTACGATTTTCGAGTTGTACACATTTGTGTTTTTCGTGTGTTGGAAAAACTGTGAGACGCGAGTTTCCTTGACACAGTCGCAATTTGGCAGCGACCCCCCTCACGCATTTGCGCACATTCCACTCAACACGCCGTATTTTACGTTCGTGTCATTCTTTTGAACGACGAGATATTATCATCACGAAAACGAAACGCCGCATACGTGAGTTACGCAACGACGCGAACGATCAATGCCACTGATTTCGAGAACAATACAAGTTTCAACAACCTGCATACTTGGCGCATGCATCGCGACCATATCAAGGTTCCGCTCTGTTCGACATTCGAATGACTTATGAAAATTCATAAATAAAAAAAAAAAAAAAAAAAAAACGGACATATGCATAGAACACACCCACGCAGCAGGTCCTGCATGAACACACGTGATAGAGAAGTATGCTCCGCCTATGTGCTGCCTATCGATTCGATCGTACTTTGCCGGTTGTGCGCTGGACTTTGCCACACTTCGCATGACACAAACCAACGATTAATAGTTTATCCATTTATGTGTAGAACTGGGACCGCGACGTAGACGTACATAAATGAACGAATGTAAAGCGACGCGGCTTGAGCTATATATAAAAGCGTCGTCGTAAAAACATCAATCGGCGGTAAAATACGAGCGCGTCTTTGAAATAAAAAAAAAAAAATAAAATAAATAAATAATCGACGGCTACTTAAAATTTATTATTTTAATATTAATATTAATATTATACACTATGTACTTTTTAATATCAATATTAATATTATTTAAAAAATAATTTTGTTTAACCGATGTAGATAGAAGAGATAATGCGCGCTTTCACAGTTATCGTTTGTTGAAACATATCTGAGCTTTTTCACAATATACGATACGGATGCCAGAAATATACCTAGTGAGAATCATTGATTATATTTACATACACACACACACACACACACACATCCGATTACAAACACATAGAGACACTTGCGATACAATAAATATTTCATTTGCCGTTATTGTTTTCACAGAAACAGAGAGGCGGATTCGCGCCAACAATCGCGAGTACAACTCACAATTTAATTATGCGGTAAGGCAAAAAACAACTTCTCTTGTTACATCTTAATTGCTAGATCTAAAAGTCATAAGATATAAAGAGAGAATTTTAATACACTGTTATGAATGTAATGTTGAGAGGGGGGGGGGGAGAGGCATATAAAGCACACGGAATGAATATCTTGTGTATTATTTTGCAGAACAATTACATCAAGACGTCCAAGTATTCGGTTCTGACGTTCCTACCGCTAAATTTGTTCGAGCAATTTCAACGGCTCGCTAACTTTTATTTCCTATGCCTGTTGGTGCTCCAGATGATCCCCGCCATATCCTCTTTAACCCCTATCACCACAGCCATACCGCTTATAGGGGTACTCACGCTCACTGCCGTCAAAGATGCCTATGACGACTTTGTAAGTATTTTGCCATTTCACTGTTTGCTTAGTTTGTTAACACTTAATCGCGATCGGCCGTCTGAAAATAGACGATTCGCCGGCATTCGACGCCGGAAGCGTCCGCGGCGACGTCAGAATAAGCCGGTTGTTGGCAACTGTTCCGAGTCATGGTCGGTGTTTAAGTGTTTACAGAAACAAGATAAGAGAGTTGAGTTTGCAAAATTACAGAAATGATAATGTGATTTAATTGTTTCAGCAACGGCATAGCAACGATTCTCAAGTAAACAATAGAAAATCCCATACATTGCGGGGTACTAATCTTCGCGAGGAGAAATGGTCGCAGGTTCAAGTGGGCGACGTAATCAGAATGGAGAACGATCAATTTGTCGCGGCGGACGTCCTGCTCCTGACGACGAGCGAGCCAAACGGTCTCTGTTACATCGAAACGGCAGAATTGGACGGGTAACGTCTCTATAAATGTCGCTTAATTACACGGACGTGAACGGTATTTGCAGAGATATGGGTGTGTGTTAAAATCGTATTTGTCTAAAATTTGCACAGGGAGACAAACCTCAAGTGTCGTCAGTGCTTGCCCGAGACCGCCGAGATGATGGATAATCACGAGTTGATCGGCCAGTTCGACGGAGAGATCGTTTGCGAAACTCCTAATAATTTGTTAAATAAATTCGACGGAACGCTTACATGGAAAGGACGAAAGTAAGAGAACTTACAGTAGAATAAAAAGTGCGCGAGCGCGCACGAAGAGAATCAAGTATCTTCTAAACAAAACGTTTTTTACGGGAAAAACGATTCTCGTAGCAACCGGAAATATCTGGTTCTTTTGTTTTGCGCGCATCGCGCGACTGATATTTGTCGTCGCGACGTGACTAACGTTTCTCAAAAAAAAAAAACATTGCAGGTACGCGTTGGATAACGACAAGATTATTTTACGGGGTTGCGTGCTGAGGAACACGCAGTGGTGCTATGGCATGGTGATCTTTGCGGGCAAGGATACCAAATTGATGCAAAACTCAGGGAAGACCAAATTTAAGAGGACCTCTATAGATAGGCTGCTGAATCTCCTCATCATCGGGATAGTGTTTTTTTTACTTTCCTTGTGTCTGTTCTGCATGGTCGGCTGTGGTATTTGGGAAAGCTTGGTGGGCCGTTACTTCCAAGTGTATCTACCGTGGGACTCGTTAGTGCCGAGCGAGCCTATCACCGGTGCCACAGTGATCGCCCTGCTCGTGTTCTTTTCGTACTCTATCGTGCTGAACACAGTGGTGCCAATCAGTTTGTACGTGAGTGTCGAGGTCATCCGATTCGTTCAGTCGTTTTTGATAAATTGGGATGAGGAGATGTACTACGCGCCCACGAAAACGCACGCTAAAGCTAGGACTACCACGTTAAACGAGGAGTTGGGCCAAATAGAGTACATATTTTCCGATAAGACCGGGACATTGACGCAGAACATAATGACTTTCAACAAGTGTTCTGTGGCGGGCAAATGTTACGGCGACGTCATCGATGAGATTACCGGCGAGGTCATCGATTTGAGCGAGGTGAGTATTTTTTTTATCTTTTATTATTCGCGCGAGAATTTTCTTTGATCCGATGCTGAACAACTGGGTACGTGTTTATTATACATTTATATTCACGTTATTTTATTATATATACATAATTTATATATACATATATAAGCTGTCCAAAATATATAAACCCATACACACGATCCACATATGCTTCTAATGCTGTGAAAGAAAAAATATTGGTCATTTTGCTTTTGCTAAAAAAATTATTTGTTATATATTTTCTATATAAGGGATTTATATATAACTACTAGATTGGGTAAAATTCGTTCAATAATTATGATATCTGAAACTTGGTACAGTGTCATACTACTTTTTATGTTGTGGGTTTTATATTTTAACATAAGGTGACAAAAATAATTATTATGCGAAAAGTGAAAGTCCTGTTTTTTTCATGTTGGATTTGTACAATATAAACACGTTAAACTTATTTATGTTGTTGTTATTTTATTATGAGATAGATGCAATTGGAGAAGTATCTTCGCACAGATTTTGGTACGTGCTTATATAAAACGTAGATAATATTCTTTGAGTGTCGATTTGGATTCCTTTTTTTTCAATTTTAATAATTTTTATGGATGATTTTCTCCAGTCACTTGTAAATATATATATATATACAAATATATAATGTCCATACGTATCCACACGTGGTCGTGTTATTGCAAGAAATTTCATATACATCACTCAGCATGTGTGTGCTGCATGTAGACGGACAGAGCTGTACGAACGCCGACGATGCGATGGAAAAGCGGACAGGAATTCGTACGTCCAGTTTATACACCATTAAGTGGTCCGAATGTACGTCTTCTGGAACAAGACAGAGTGTCCTATGCAACACCGGAACCCGGCATCAACGGCAGCCCAAAGATTCCGCACAAGTCTTCAGTACGCATGTTGATACTTAGCACTTTCTTTCCGCGATTTCACGGAATCTGTACATGCTTTTATGAGCTTTTTTTTTTTTTTTATTCTACTCATCATCGCGCAACCATTCATATCGCACACGATATCAAAGCATTGTTACTAACGTTTCTTACATAGGCTCTCAATAAAGTAATTTATATCAAAGATTCTGTCTCTCTCTCTCTCTCTTTCTCTCTCTGCATTGGTGACTTGTGAATTGTGTATCTATACACGTTATTATTATTATTATTACATTCTTGCACGCTAGAATTTCACACTACAAAATAGATACGCCGTATGCTAATGCTCTTATTCTTTTTTACTTACTTGTATCATACTACTTGTAACGCACTGTTGATGAGATGATTCCTTGCGTAAACCATTGCTTTCTCTCTGACACGAAGGGTGTGATTTAAGTAACGGAAATCGATTACTAATTATATGTATGATGGTGGCAAGAAGTGGCATATATATTTCTGGGTAATAGGATCTTCAACTTTCCATTTGGCTTTTTCTTTCCTTTTCTTTTTTTGTAACAACAGCAGATCCTCGTCGATAAGATTAACTTTCTTTCTTCTACATTAACTTCGTTGTTGCGCGCGAACAAAGAGCCGAGAGGTTCCTGAGAGATCTCATCGTACATTTTGCAGACAATGCCACCCTTGGATTTCTCGTTCAACAAGGACTACGAGCCCGACTTCAAATTCTACGATCCCGCGCTACTCGAGGCCGTCAAGCGAGAGAATCAGGATGTTCACAGTTTTTTCCGACTGTTAGCACTCTGCCACACCGTAATGCCGGAGGAAAAAAACGGCAAGATCGAATACCAAGCGCAGTCGCCCGACGAGGCTGCGTTGGTGTCCGCCGCTAGAAACTTCGGTTTCGTCTTCAAGGAGAGATCGCCCAACAGTATAACAATCGAAGTAATGGGAAAGAAAGAGATTTACGAACTGCTCTGTATTTTGGACTTCAATAACATGCGGAAGAGAATGTCCGTGATTTTGCGAAAAGACGGCCATCTTCGATTGTATTGCAAAGGTGCGGATAACGTTATTTACGAGCGACTGAAGAAGGACAGCGAGGAGATAATGACGAAAACGTTGGATCACCTGAATAAGTTTGCGGGTGAAGGCTTGAGAACATTGTGCCTTTCTGTGAGGGACTTGGACGAAAGTTTTTTCAACAATTGGAAACAACGACATCAAGAGGCGGCGTTGAGTCATGAGAATCGGGACGATAAACTTGACGCGATATACGAGGAAATAGAAAAAGATATGTCGTTATTAGGTGCTACTGCCATCGAGGATAAATTACAGGACGGTGTGCCCCAGACCATTGCCAATTTGGGTCTCGCTGGTATTAAACTCTGGGTATTAACTGGTGACAAACAGGGTAAGCTTGAGGATCGTATTACAAGCGTTCGTTAAAAGAACGAAAACACGTCTGTCTTCGTAAAGTAGTAACGTCGATCTTTTTCACTTGTACAGAGACGGCCATCAACATCGGATACTCATGTCAATTGCTGACAGACGATCTCACGGATGTTTTCGTGGTAGACGCCACCACTTACGACGGCGTCGAGGCGCAGTTAATGCGATATTTGGATACCATTAAGACCGCATCGACCCAACAGAAACGACCGACTCTCTCCATCGTCACATTCAGGTGGGACAAGGAAAGGTCAGGCACATGAAAGAGACGGAGTACAATCTATTAACTTTTTCTATATCGCTGATTCTGAATTAACGCATTTGTTTAAAAAAAAAAAAAAAAAAAAAAAAAAAAACAAGCAACAAAAAAAAACAGATATCTCTCATACTGAATGTGGCATCATGTTTTCATGTAATGCTTTCTATGTTTATATAGTTTTTGTGCCTAAGAATTTATCCTACTCAACTGTAGATCTCGTACGCTTTGTAAGCTAATTTGATTTTCTCGCAACGCAAGTCAGAATGCGAGTGATTCATCCGAAGCGTATGAGATGAGAAAACACATTCTTAGGCACATTTATTCGGATAACGTGAAACGAAAATTTGCGATGACAAATTCTTACCTTTGCTAGTACGACGCTTTATCGTTATGTGCATTTAAGTTTTTTGCGTATTTTCCTATCTTTTGTAATTATCTGTCGTCAAGGTCCAACTTCAAAATTACATTTAAATTTGCATGTGTACCCGATAATCATATCTCTCTCGTATTTGAGAAACATCACGTGATTATTTTTCCATATTAGTTATTGAAAATTATCTTGCTACGTTCTTATTAATAATGTAATCAGCAAATTTCTGCTCTACTTTAGAGAAACAGTAGACTAGATGCGACTTTTCCAATCACTTGAAACATCTTTCAGAATACTGCACATATCATATCTAAGATTATTATTCTCTCTGTGATAATGATATTTATATAGTTATATAGATAACTGAGAGTTTTTTTACCATGATGCTTGATAATCACTCCTTCTCTTTCTGTATGCTTATAAATAAATTAATCTCTTACATAGGTATCTCTCTTACATCATTAACACACAACTGGTATGTTGCTTGTGTCATGTTCCTGTTTTCTATGTAGATACTTAATATAACGCGCACTGTGTACCGTTTACAATTAACGTGCATTTACCTCTTAACATTTTAAAATTAAATGCCAAAGTTTTTTTGTCTCACTTTGCTAACAATTTATTGTAAAAAATCGTGATTTCTTACATTTTCTTAGTTCAACACATCTGTTTTATATAACTTTCTACATTGTGTACTGTAAATTAATCCTTGAATCGAAACTTTTTTCTCAAGTAAATACCAGAAGTATTTTTTTGTTTTGAAAGTGGGAAATATGTGTATTAACGATTTTGTTTGAAACTTGCGTTTTCTCTTGCACAGCAGTGATACAGAATACAATCCTAGTAGGGAAGAACAGGATGAACACGACATGGAACAATCGACGGGATTCGCGGTGGTTATCAATGGACATTCTTTGGTTCACGCGTTACATCCGCAGCTGGAACAGCTGTTTCTCGAAGTTTCTAGCCAATGTGAGTCGAAGTTAACCATCGCATATTAAGAGGTTTCGCATAATTAAGAAATCAATAAACGACAAGTCAAATTTTGTTTGTTTTTTTTTTTTCTTACAGGTAAAGCTGTAATATGTTGTCGAGTGACGCCACTGCAGAAAGCGATGGTCGTCGAATTGATCAAGAAAAACAAGTCTGCTGTAACTCTGGCAATCGGCGATGGAGCCAATGACGTGTCGATGATAAAAACGGCTCACATTGGCGTTGGCATCAGTGGGCAAGAAGGATTACAGGCTGTATTGGCCTCCGACTATTCGATAGGACAGTTTAGGTTCTTGGAAAGATTACTTCTGGTTCACGGCAGATGGTCGTACTACAGAATGAGCAAATTTCTTAGGTATTTTTTTTATAAAAACTTCGCATTTACTCTCTGCCACATCTGGTTTGCCTTCTTTTGCGGATTCAGTGCACAGGTAAGATCTTTTGAAGTGTTTGCGCGCTCTTACGTATAATAATTACTACAAAACTCACAATAAATGCAATAAATTACGCAAAATTAAATGATGCTCTAAAGGCGAATATGATTTAGAACACTCCTTCGTAGAGTAAGCTTGTTCCGAAGTCGAGAAAATTAAAATATCTCTTTGTAGAACAAGTTTGCTTCGAAGTCGAGAGATTTTAAATATGATTTTAATCATTTTTCTGATAATACTGCAAAAAAAGATACGTCGTAAGTGTAGAACAAGCAATCAGAACTGCGTGTACATCTTATATCTATATTTTCTTGCAGACTGTGTTTGATCCTATGTACATTTCCGTCTACAATCTGTTTTATACGTCGTTGCCGGTTTTAGCGGTTGGAATTTTTGATCAGGATGTTAATGACAAGAATAGTCTAATGTATCCGAAGTTGTACGCTCCGGGACTCCAGAATTTGCTCTTCAATAAAAAGGAATTTTGTTGGAGCGCTCTACATGGGTTTTACGCTAGCTGTGTATTATTTTTAGTACCTTACGGTAAATATTCTATGTTTAATTGTTAGAAAACAAGATTCTAACGTTTGTAGATCGGAACAACGTAAGATTATTACGTACCGATTATTACAATACCGATTATACTTGTGTGCTTTAACAGGGACATATAAGGACGGGGTGTCACCAAAAGGTTACGTACTTTCCGATCACATGCTGCTGGGCAGTGTAGTAGCCACTATATTAGTTATAGTCGTGACCGTTCAAATAGCCCTCGACACATCGTACTGGACAGTTTTCAATCATATTATGGTGTGGGGCTCGCTCATCTGGTATTTTATTTTAGATTATTTCTACAACTTTGTCATAGGCGGTAGTTACGTCGGCAGTCTGACGATGGTGCGTATAATCGCGTATTCACAAGTATCTCTTCGAAACAATTTGACATGTTTGAATTTGTTTGTTTCCCAGGCCATGTCGGAGGCGACGTTTTGGTTTACCACGGTAATATCGTGTATAATTCTCGTGATACCGGTACTGTCGTGGCGATTCTTCTTCATGGATGTCAGACCGACATTGTCTGACCGAGTCAGATTGAAGCAGAGACTGGCGCAACTACGTTCCCGTCAAAGCCAGGACATACTGCGTACACCGTCTACGAGGCGTACGCGACGATCTCTACGCTCGGGCTACGCTTTCGCTCACCAAGAGGGCTTTGGCAGACTCATCACGTCCGGGAAAATTATGCGCAAATTGCCAAATGGTGCTGATTTTAAGTTTTCTATGCCGTTTACAAATAACGTCACGAAGCAGGTTAACGTTGCCACTACGTCACCGAAGGACAACAGTGCATCTAGAAATTCGCACACGCTGGACACGATTAATTTATAATAGTGCGTTAAACATCTCGTTGATCGACTCTCGGCAGATGAGTCCAAAAAAACGCAGGTGATTCAAGCGAATGTTGTTTTCGTTTTCTTAATTTACTTATTTATGAATGTTAAAGGTCAAAATTTAACGCGGCAAATTTATTGATTTCGGTGTATCCCATTGAAATCGTGATTCTCTTGATATTTGTTTCGTAATTGAGAGGCACAAGTGATATAGTATTTTGCAGTATTGTTTTTTTTCTTTTTTTTTTCTTTTTTTTTTGAGAGAAAGCAAGAAAGAGAGAGAGAGAGAAAGGATCTCGTAAAGAGTTGATATGTCTGTGATTATGTTACATTTAATTTAAACATTTACATTAAGGAAAAAATTCGAACAACATTAAAGAACTCCTATTGCGATCTATATCTAAGCGGATGTCTGTGTGAACAACGATAACGATTATCGAAAAAATCGAAGTGCAAATATCTTCGTTAATACATACATTTAACGCAATGAATTCCAGTGGGATACATTGAGTTACACACACCACGATAGAAAGGTAGCATATGCTATTTACATCTATACATCTCTCTCTGTTTAAGCATTTATGAATTTGTTATTATTATTAATTGTTTGTGTCTCAAACGTTGTGTATTTACGTGTTCAATAATTTTTTTGTAATTTATATCTTTTGCACAGTTTTTGTGAAATAAGTACACGTGGAGGTATTCATATTTGATTTGAACTTCTGATCACGCAATTATGTATGTAAATAATAGTACGCTTTATGAGATAATTGAATATACTGTATGAGAAAATAGCTTATGCTACTGAAATGTAGATATATGTATGTTTATAACAGTCCTCGTATATATGTGAGAACAATCCTGAAAATACCGACATGTATGTCGCGGACAATCTTCGGTATTTTTCGTTTGATACATAGAAAAACAATTCTCAGACATGATTACACAGTCATGCGGACAAGTGTATTGCGAAAGAAGAACAAATGCGAAATTATTTTCTTTTACTGAAATTAATACGTATATATGAATATTATCGGAACTTCTTTTTGTAATTGAACTGATGAATAGATTTTTATTTTGTTTACTTGCCTCTTATATATATATGCATGTTATATTAATTTATAAAATAACACAGAAAATTTTAAAAGTATTTTTGTTCTTTAATTAAAAGATTTCTTTTTTTTTTTTCAATTTGGGAAACACTCGGGGGAAAAAGTAGATCTCATACACACATAACAAGTAAGTATTATTTGTACCGTTGTGATTTTTATTTGTGTTTTATTGGAAGAATAGCATAAAATTTAATGCAATAACAGCGAAAGAAATAACATCGTCGTGCACTCCCCTATGTATATAATAGAAATATGGCATATACATACATATATATATTATATATATATATAGAGGTGTCAAAAAAAAATCTTGTAATATCCTATCTTGTACTATATATTACTTAGTAATCAACTGTATACTATGAAAACGCGATTTATTGTATAAACAACAAAATAACACGTTTACACGATATACTATGTTACGATAATAGTTATATATTGATAATATTGCCTTTATAAAAACGTGAAAACAAACGATTAAAAATATTGTATCATAGTATTGATTGTAAATATTTTAAAGAGATATATTATATATTATATATTAAATGTTAAGTATACATTTTTTAAAAGAAAGTAATATATAGATAGATCGATTTAAAGAAAAAAAAAAAAAAAAAGAAATACGAACATAGTAGTTATATTGTATTACACTATCGCGCAGATAAAAGTTTGCCTTGTGGACTGATTACTGAATACATATAATATATTAAAGAAAAAAAAACAGTAGTAACAATGGAGTATGTATTTCTACTTTTAATATTACAATGAAGTTTTTAGGGAGACGTAGTTTGTACGGGGAGAAAGTATGTTTCACACAATCAAATTTATCATTTACGAACAAAGAATATAGAATTTCGGTTGCTTTCAAACATCGTGCCTAAACTTCAAACTATGCAGAGTGTCTCGAATTCTCATTGATATTTCATTGGTTTACGTTTGTTTGATGTACACTTTGGTTTTTTTTTGTTTACGCGAATAATAGCAAATCATCTTAAAGTAGATGCCAGTCATTCGATCTTCAGTTTGTATACAATAGTTTTTTTTTTTTTTTGCATCACGTGCTTGTCAGAAAAAGAAATTAAGAATTTTTCAGATATCGCTTTCGAGGTTCTTTCATTTATGGTAGTGTTTTATAGAAATTCTCATATTGTCTTCACGAAAGTAAATTGGGTGGATTAGTACAATCTCCGTATCCTCAATTTGAATGTTAATGTGAGTTTTTATACGACATATCCCATTGCATATTACTTGTTACCACGTTTGTTTTGAGCCTCTTTTTGAAAAGTTTTGAAATACAGAAGTTATAGGAGTAAATAAGCAGTATTGAATGACTTTTGCATGATGAAGATAAAATATTTGTCAATAGACGTGTAAATAAACTGAAAAATATATAATAATTTGACACATAACATTTTACAAAGTAAAAACGCTATGGAATTGTATAATTTTATCGATATATACATGTATATGTATATAAAGACTACGTTGTATGTCGTGAATTTGAATTTCATTCGGAACAACAATGTTTTTTCTTCGTGTACGAAAAAACCTTTATACAGTCACACAGGCAAATGCACAGAGTTTACAAAAGCTGGTTTTATATGCACATTTATTTTGATAAATACTTCGCATTACTGCTGTAAGTTTTTTTAATTATCAGTTTATGTGTCGCACACACGAAGTTACAGCGTAACGTACAAGTTTGTCAACGAGCAACACATTCTTACTTGCAAAATTAAATATCGAAATTCAAAACTATAAAAATATGTATATGTTAATATAATATATATGTTACACACANNCTCNGAANNNTATATATATATATATATACACATTGACTTTTCTCATTTAAAGAAATTCTAACTGAGTTAATTATCTTTTTCGATTTTTTTTTTTTTTTTTTTTTTATCGCGTGTGGAAAGATGGGGAGACATACAGATGTTGTTTGAAAATCTCGGGGGAAGTAATATTGATGTGGTTTCTTAATAATCTAAGGCGAATAAGAGTTATAACGTATAGTCATAAAAATATATTGTTAGTTGCACATATAAATTGTTATATGTATGTTACAAGTCAAGATCAAATCAAATTTGGAAGCAAAGTATGTACATCGGTCTGCTGCATGTGCTCTGCTTATTTGATTGTGTATAAAAACACTTAATTGGAAAAGAAAGCACAATTTTTCGTGTGAACATTTCCTCGGGACGATACGATTTTTATTTCTTTTACAGCGTGCTCTAGTGCGACAATAATACAATTTAATATAATGCAAACGTGCATGATGCGCGATTGCAACGAGCATTTGTATTTTCGTCATAGTTTACATATGTTTTCCTTGGAATAAACAATTTATTCTCTTTTCAGTCATTTAATTTGTTACATTGTTATAGAGCAACACAAGCTTTGTTTCTTTTTAAATTATTTGCAAGTATTGACTAATTTGTTTTCGTGATAGAGCCACATGCAGTGAGCGCGCGGTTTTTCTACGCAAATCAATATTAAAATTTAAGATGTTCCTTATCCAAAAAAAAAAAAAAAAAAAAAAAAAAAAAAAAAANATGTACGCGCTAATGAAGTCTACTATCGCAAAATCGCAAAATTATATAAATATGTATGTTATATAATATACGTAGACAGCAAAATAGAAAAGTAATCGTGATACCGAGTAGTGGCACACTTAATCTCTCTTGTAAAAAAAACTCTTAGTTGTTTTTGAGAAAACGCATTATCAGACACACAAAATAATTCTGTTAATTTTATTCACACGGTGATTCTGTTAATGTATTCAAGTGTTGATTTTAACACACTGGCCGAATTTTCTCCCTGCGATCACGTTTGTTTTCACAAAGCAACAACTTTCTCACAGCGAGCGCAAATAACGTATATAGGTAAATAGCAAAAAAAAAATCCGTATGTTCATATTTCGCATCATTTCTCTGTGTAGATTTCAACATGCTGCCTTAAAACGTTACACGTCGTCATCCTGTAACACATAAGCGAACACGATGCTTTTTATTTCTCACTTGAAAACCACATTGGTTGCCGAGATTTTAGTTTTTCATTTGAACATAACGAATGTCACATGTGCTTTTCCATTGATTTTCCGCGACAATTTCGACAATGTTGTGCAATGTTAATATGCATACGTAATTAACATAATTAGAAACAGTTAACTGTGTGTTATACGAACAAAATATATTATACATTGTATAGGGGTATTACTTATATAGTTCAATTCGAATGAAAGGGACCACAGTACGATACGTTCTAACGCGAATTTATCATAATTTACAGCACACTTCGCGCGGTGCTTTCATTCACGGTGAGATTATTCCTAATTACAATTTATTAATAAATATCCGTTTTTCTAAAGAAAAAAAAAGAAAAAAAAGGTTTTTCTCCTCGCGCGCTTGTTTATCCGTTATTTTCACGACCGTTTACGAGACCGTTGGTTTTAAGACGAAGGTATATATATAAATACCTGTAACAATTGTAACATAGCTGACATGCATGAAAGAAACGTGTAAATAAAAAACGTGCTTTGTCACATACTGAAGTAATCTTACGAATGATGTATATTTGTACATATATATATACATATATATATTTATAAATATCAATTTGATGGCTATAATCTCTGTAAAATGTACCTCGCATCACGTTAATCGTGAGGTTTATTTTATTTTATACACAGGATCTTGTGCGCTCGCGTGCGACGAAGAACGAGGTGCACACAGAACGCATCATGAATTAATTGCAAGTATCTCTCGACGCGCTTGTCACACTTTTAAACAAAAAAAGGTATTCGCGACTCGACCTGAGAACTTGTTTCAGTTGCGAGATTTAGAAACAACATTTCGATTGTTTCAAATCCAGATGCAAAATCAATTCTCAGATTGAGTCGCGACCGTGAACAAACGGATTCAAGTTAATTCGTAGGAGGGGAGGGTATGTGAAAAAATAATTTCGTCCACTCTTCGCAAGGCCTTCATCGGCAAATTTAAGGTATTTCTGTGTTTATGGTGTATATAGTGAATGGAATTTGACGAAGGTTCTCGATTTCTTCCAATTCTGCCGAATCTAAAACGCGGCCACAACTCATATATATGTTGTTGACATGTACATTAACGTAATAAATTAACGAGAATAATCTTGTACTAAAATTCTCTTTACTTTCGTTGAAATATAAATGACTTACACTTGTTCACTTACAATACGTACACTTATGTATAACCATAAAGTACATAATGGAACTCGGAGGACAGGAATGCACGAATCGTAAATTAGAACAATTTTCAATTCCTTGAGCATTATTAATTCACACAAATTTTGCACCGGATAAAATCACAAGAGTTTAAGAAAATTTGATGCAAATTAATTTCGATGTAAAAAAATTGCCGCTCATTCGAAAAATTAAGCAAATTTTAGAAATTCTTTTGTTAATATCGTACATTCTGTTTTTAGTTCTGTATCTCAAAAGTCACTAGTCCATCGATAACGTCGTATGCACATCAGCGAATTTGCATTTAGCTATGCAAACATCGTGCCATTATCGTAAAGAATCTTGTCTGGAAAGACAATCTGATCGATAATATTAATACTGTTTCGCGATCACTTCTTTTGCACTTCAAACTCAAACATTTTTCAGAAGGTTTCACATTGAGTGTGGTTTCACATGGCAATGTGTAAACCAGATTATATAAAGAAAATTAAGAAGATGTTGACTTTAGTAACTTTTTAGTAACTAACTGAAATTTTAATTGCAATCAAACGATATATTGTCTGAGCATACAGTATCACAATAAAAAAGTTTTGTATTACTTCAATATGCCACAATTTTGTCGCTGATATATATCTAGCAAATTTCAGATTTCATTCACTTGTCCTAACAGAAGTAACCGTTAAAATTGCAACTTTTTGGCCAGAGAAGCACCTTCCATGGATTCCAGCAATTTCCTTTTTAGACTAGGTCTTTCTTCAGGTACACGTTTGACATTCATAGGAAGTGGTAGATTAGGTCCGGGCGTGGGCGCAGGCCTATTGCTGAAAAACGGCATCTGCAATGCTTCATCGCACGAGCATCTTTCCTGAGGATTCACGTTCAATAAACAGCCGATCAAATCCAGAAGATCATCGCCGGCCGCGGTAAATATGTGCTTCAATGGCATGGCGGGAAAGGGTTTGAATTGAATGAAATCTGATAATTCGTTCATTCCCGGCCAAGTTTCTTCTGTTGGAGTACCAAGAGTCTAAATAAAAAGAAAATATTCAATACTGAGAATATGAAAACGATAAAAATGACCATATTAATGTGCATTATGCGCGATACACACGCGCCTTTACAATAAACTCGATCATACTTGAAATATCTTGGTGAGCTGATCCAAGTCAGATTCACCGGGTAAAAATGGTGCTCGCAGCAAAAGCTCAGCCAGTATACAGCCTACTGCCCACATATCGATCGCGTTTCCATACTGTCTAGCACCGTAAAGTAACTCAGGTGCTCTGTACCACCTTGTGACTACTTGATGAGTATTTATCCGGCTGGGCGATCCGTGAAATTTTGCTAATCCAAAGTCTCCTATTTTTAGAACACCTTTTGAATTTACCAGTAAATTATTGGGTTTCAGATCTCTGTGAAGAATCCAATTACAGTGAAGATAATCAAGACCCTGCAAAGTTTGGATCATGTAAGCCTTAATATTAGCTGTGGTTAAAACTATATTGATGTCCTTTATTATCACTTCCAAGTCTGTGTCCATAAAGTCAAACACCAAAGACACATTTGATTTATGACCAAAAACATCTGTAATTGAGATATAAATATCAATATTTTTCTATGTAGATTGCATACTGTAATAATTTAAATAAGCTTTTAATTAACTCATTTTTCTTTTACATTAAATACAAACCTAACAAACCAATGATGTTGTCATGTTTCAACTCTTGTAATAGTTTGATTTCTCGTAAAGCAGTTCTATTAATGCCATCTCTGGCTTCTGCACGACTTCCTACTTTAATCTACAAATATACAAAATAAATATATCTCTAATGATAAAAAAAGATTAAAATGTACACACATATATATATATATATATAGTGGAAACCAACCTTTTTCACTGCTACAATTGTATTTGTTTCTATATCCTTGGCTTTGTAAACAGTGGCAAACTAAAAACAAAATATATTATATAGTATATTGTTTGAATAAGTGTATATATTACAGTGTGATTACATATTTTTTATACTTGTTAATTTTTTACATAATTTTTAAAATAAAATTTCTTATATATTATTAACAATTATGTAATTATGTACAATAATTATATATAATTATTTGAAATATTACAAAATAAATATTAATAACGTGCTACACAAAATTTTAAAAGAAACTGAGACATATTCTAACCTGTCCTTCTCCCAAAAAATCAATTTTTTCATATCTCCGCACTTTTTCTGTCATTATAAAAATTTACTTATTATAAAAATATTAATTTCTTTCTTTTTTCCTAAGGCAATAATTACTAACTAAATAGTATAATAATTTCTAAATAACAGATCAATTCTTGATTTTATATCCAGAACTCTGCATTTATCGTTCCTCAATAGGATTGATGACAACAACAGAATCTTGCGTTCACAATGCTTGGTACGAAATAAAGTCACTAGAACTTGGACCAATTGCAATGGTCGTTTAAAAAGACCTTTGCACGTAACAAAACTTTAATTGTGACATAAGATCGTAAACAAACCAATCACAGACTGACAATTATCTTTCAGTAGCGAGAATTCTGACCTGTCATTGGTTTCAACTAAAATCTTGTTATGCGCAATAGCCTTAACCGACCAATCACCGAAGCTCAATTGATGTTACCAAAGTTGGTAAACTCACAACGGTTAGCTCAAGTTGGCTTTCTGCAAGTCGTCAGTTTGCAGAATTTAAATTTTGTAGTGTGTGCACGATGCGCGTGAGAGGACGAATCTTTTAGGCGCGAAAACAATACAAACATTTGTCACTTATCATGTATATAAAGTCGATGATACTGGAGGGATTCAAGTCCTATGGCAAAAGAATCGAGGTAAACGGTTTCGACAAAGAATTTAACGCGATTACTGGATTCAACGGTAGTGGAAAATCAAATATCTTGGACGCAATATGTTTTGTTTTGGGCATTACAAATCTTGGACAGGCAAGTTGTGTATACACATATACATTCTTTATTCTTAGTCTACCTAATTATTTGTTAACTCAATCTAAGGCATAATCTTGTTTTTATATATCATTATTTGTTGTTAGATATTTTTCTCTTGCATTTCAACAATTTTGTGTGCATATATATTGATTGGAGATGGTACAACACAATGTAGTTATAAAACCTATAAAATATGTAATTGAGTAGTATATTTTATTGCAAATTATTTCAAGTAATCTGAGACTTATAGATATAATTTTTGAAATTTTAGGTACGTGCTACCTCTTTACAAGATTTAGTATACAAGTCAGGTCAGGCAGGTATAAAGAAAGCTAGTGTCACAATATTATTTGACAATTCTGATAAGAATTCATCCCCTATGGGTTATGAAGAGTATGATGAAATTATAATAACAAGACAAGTTATAATTGGTGGTTCTAATAAATACATGATTAACGGGAGAAATGTACCAAACAAACGTGTACAAGACTTGTTTTGTTCAGTGCAATTGAATGTAAATAATCCACACTTTTTAATCATGCAAGGTAGAATAACAAAAGTATTGAATATGAAGCCTCCAGAAATTTTGTCTATGCTTGAAGAAGCAGCAGGAACAAAAATGTATGAAAAAAAGAAACAATCTGCACTGACAACTATAGAAAAAAAGGATAGCAAATTAAGGGAGATTAATGATGTAAGTGATTTGATATTGACTTATATATATATATGTAGGTGTTTTTTAAATTTATATATATACTCTGTGTTTTAGATTTTAAAAGAAGAGATTGGTCCAAGGTTGGACAAATTGAAAGAAGAAAGAACGCAATATGTAGAATTTCAACGTTTAGAAAGAGAGCTGGAACATTGCAAAAGAATTCATCTTGCATGGAAATATGTCACAGCTTTGGAAAATAGTCAGAAAACCGAAGAGGACGTCACGATAGTACAAAACAAAATAGATGCAAACTTAAGAAACATAGCTGCTGGCGAAGAAGAAATTAAGGATATAGATCAGAAATACGACGCATTATTGAAGAAAAAAGAAGCAGTATGATTAAATATTTCTATTTCTCTCTTTTTGCTTCTTTCTTTATAAGCTCTATGAATAGCTTTAAAGTTTGCCTATGTAGAATATCTAGCAATAGGAATGCAATCTTTTTCTTCAGCTTGGTAATTAAATATTACGATATCTTTGTCTCGAGAAAAGAATATTTAAAGACTTTTTCTTTCCTTAAGGAAAAAGGTGGCATATTAGAATCTTTAGAGCAAAAACTGCAAGAATGGGAGAAAAAACAGTTTAAATTGGCGGCTGAAGTGAACAGTAATAAAGAGAACATTAAAAGCACAAAGAAAACAATTGAACAAATAAAAACCAACATAGCTGACGATAAAAACGCGCTCGTATTGAAGGAAAAAGAATTGGAAAAAGTCGGGGGACTTTTTCAAAAGTTAAAAGAGATGGATCAGAAAGATAGCGAAGCAGTACTAGAGGCACAAGAAAAATACCAGAAAATCAGCGCGGGACTGCTGGAAAGTGAAGATGGTGAAAACGCGACGTTGGAGCAACAACTAATACATGCAAAACAAAGTGTCACACAGGCACAAACTGAACTTAAACAATGCGAAATGACATTAAATCACAACAGACAACAATTAAGTAAGAAACAAAAAGAAATGCAAAATACAGCGAGCGAATATCAGAAATGTAATGTGGGTTTGGAAACGAAAGAGAAGGAATTGAAAAATTTGGAAAATAATTTACAAAAATTGAATTATAAGGACGGGCTTTCGCAAGACTTAAACACGCAAAGAAGTAACTTGATTGCGGAAATAAGACAACTGCGTGAGAAAGTGGATCAGTTTGAATCAAGATATCCTCAAACGAGATTCGAATATCGTAATCCGGAATCTAATTTTAATGCGAAATCTGTTAAAGGCATTATTTGCAAATTGATGAATGTAAAGGATAAGAGAGCCGCGTACGCCTTGGAAATTGCTGCAGGAGGAAAAGTAATGAATTTTTTTTTTTTGCGTAATTTTTACACAAAGTAAAACTTTATTTTTTTTAAGGTTTATACAATGTTTTTTTTAGCTCTATAATAATTGATTAATAATTTAATATAACTTATATGTTTTTTTTATAGCTTTATAATGTAGTAGTGGACACCGAAACCACAAGTAAAAAACTTCTTCAACATGGACAGTTGCAACAACGAGTTACAATTATTCCGCTTAATAGAGTGTCTGGTAGATTCATGGATCAACAGACAGTCGCTCTGGCAGAAAAACTGGTTGGAAAAGAGAATGTTCAGCCTGCTCTGTCTCTCATAGATTTCCCGAAGGAAGTTACTCCAGCAATGACTTGGGTGTTCGGCCAGATATTCGTATGCAAAGATATGGAAACCGCCAAGAAAATAGCATTTCATGAGAAAATTATGAAGAAATGCGTTACTTTGGAAGGCGATCTCTTTGATCCAGCTGGTACATTGTCCGGTGGTGCGCCGTCGAAAACTGGATCGATTCTATTGAAACTAGAGGAATTCAAAGAAGTTCAGAACAAACTGAATGAAAAAGAACGTCTCCTAAAAGACGTAGAAACTAAGTTAACCAATATTGCACAAATTGCGGAAAAGTATGCGTCGTTAAAACAAAAACATGATCTGTTAACATATGAAATTGGTACAATCCGGCAGAGGTTGGAACAAACCAGTCATCACAAGATCAAGGAAGAGGTATATTGCGCACTTTATGAACTTGCACATCTCAAATGTAGATCTAGTCTTTTTTATGAGTATATCTCTATTTTTATTCTATATATCTACTTACTTTTAGATGGATTCTCTATCTGCGTCTATTGAAGAACTCACACAAAGGATGACTGCAGCAAAGAAGTTGGAGCACGATAGTGCGAAACGTGCAAAAGTCATAGAAGCCAAGTTAAACGATGCAGAAAACGTTCGTGAAAAACAATTGAAGAACGCCGAGAACTATTTAAATGTTTTAAAAAAGAAAGCGGAACAAAGTCGCAAAGAATGGCAGAAAAGGGAACAAGAATCGGAAACACTCGAGTTGGAGATAGTGGAATTGCGAAAGACCATTGAAAGCGGTAACGAGCAATTGCGTCAAGCGACAGAGGAAATTAACACGTTTGAAAACAAAGGAAAAACTCTTGGAGAAGAATTGGGACAGGTGAAAATCGAAGTTCAAGAGCTGCAGGACAGCATCAAGGAACAAAAGAACATAATAAATCAGCAAAATAAAGATATGAAAAATTTGATAGCAAGAAAAGAGGATATTATTAAACAAAACAAGGAACTGCAACTCGACATTAAAAAGTTGAATCACGAAATTAACGACATCAAAAAAAGCGCAGAGAGTTGCAGACGTAAAGTTACAGAGCTCGCGAATAAGTACGATTGGATTGAACAGGAAAAAGCTTATTTCGGAAAGAAAGGTATTTAAACAGTTACTAGTATTGTAGTAAATTTTTACTTACATATACTATATGTCTTTATGTTAACACAAAGAAATGTGTTACATATACGTACGGCATATGTTTTAGGTGGTATATATGATTTCGAAATTAACAAACCAGAAGAATTGTTACAAAAAATACAATATATGGAAGGAGTACGCGAAAAGTCACGTCGTAATATCAATACGCGATCGATCAATCTTCTTGACAAGGAGGAAGAACAATATAACGATACGTTAAAAAAGAAAAGAATAGTCGAAAATGATAAAAACAAAATTCTCGAAACAATTAAACACTTGGATAAACAGAAGAAGGAAACTTTGATCAAAGCTTGGGAACAGGTATTAGAGAAATAATTATGATATTTTCACCAGTGTGTTTAAACGCTATTGATACGCAACAGATTATATTCTCACACAATTTATAATGTTAATTTTTTTTTATATACACATACACGTAATCTAACAAATTTGTAAATATATAAATTTTTTAATTTGTTAGGTCAACAAAGACTTTGGTTCGATATTTAGTACCTTACTGCCAGGAGCCGAGGCCAAGTTACAACCGCCGGAAAACGAAACGATCACAACTGGTTTAGAAGTGAAGGTCGGATTTTCGGGTTTGTGGAAAGAATCGTTGGGAGAATTATCCGGAGGTCAGAAATCCTTGGTTGCCTTGTCGTTAGTTTTAGCTATGTTATTGTACAAACCAGCGCCGCTTTATATTTTGGACGAAGTAGACGCTGCTTTAGATCTTTCGCACACAGAAAATATAGGTATAATGTTGAAGAGACATTTCAAACATTCACAATTCATTGTTGTCTCGTTAAAAGACGGTATGTTTAACAATGCCAACGTTTTATTTACAACTAGATTTATTGATGGCATGTCAACAATAAGTAGAACCGAAAAGAAATGAGATCTAAATATATTGCACTGAAGGAAACATTCTATTTTTATAATACAATATACGATAGCGCATTTCGTCCAAGATATGTCTTTTATCTCATTGTTTTTTGTAGAACTTAAACTTATATTCTTATTACATGGTAATAAAAAAAAAAAAAAAATGCCTCTGCAACTCTGTTAATGTAACAATTATGTGATATTTATTACATCTAATAAGTATTATGTTTGAGAGCCGATCTTGCTGGACCAATCGACTTCTGTAAAAAACTGATGACGCTTTATCTCATCTATTGTCAAACGCTCATTTGGATGATATTTCAGTATCTGCAACAATATAGTTACTTAATTAATGAACGTTAATGAAAACTGTTTTATTTTATACAAAATATGTAAACGTACACCGTATAACAAAGATTTTGCATTTTCCGTTAGCTTCCTGGGAATGCTGATGGTGGAATGTGAATGGAATGCTCCCGGATGTTTTGTGTCAAATGTCTGTGAAACAAATTTTTAGTGTTTTATTAAAAATTGTTACATTGCACTTATCAAGAGCAAAAGTGGAAGAAAGTATTTTTATATACATACAATGCCGGCAAGTAGTTCGTACAGAATTACTCCAAAACTCCAGATATCCGTAGCAGATGTGACGGGAATGGTCGGGAACATCATCAGCTCGGGTGACGAGTATGGATATGTTAATTTCGACAGTTCCACGTTGTGTTGTGGCACGATATAAGTGAGCCGTACATGACCCGTATCGTCGAGAAGAATATTATCGGGTCTGAAGTCGCGGATTAGGACATCCTGTTGATGAAGCGCCTCTAGAGCTAAGAGAATTTCAGCTGCCCATGAACGAACCACAGCCTCAGGTATTTGCCAAAGCTCTTGTTCTTCATCCGCAACAACAGTCTCTTTAGACGAATATTGTGTTTCGTTAATACCGCACGATATGTTAACATCCGAAGAACACGTTTTATCGGATGTATTTTCAATTCTGTCGTTCACGTGAACAGAATTGTCCAACTCTTTGAATTCGTTCAATCGATTTGCGATGAAATTGCTTTTTTTTAATGTTGCATTAACAGATTGCAACAACTTTTGCGACTTTTCCAACAGTTGTGTAGTAGGAACTTCCGCATGGATCTCGCTATCCGTTGAATGTTGATCTCTCTGGTTGTTATCTTCTACAACTTTGTCGATCTTACTTACATCGTCGATATTATCGTTACTGTCGAGTTCTCCGTTGACACGTTCATTTACACACACGCGATCCGAAATTGCATTAATATGCAAATTGTCATATACTTTGTAATGTAGATGTATGAAATCCCATAATCTTCCGCAACTAAACACAAGAAATACATGTACACATATATAACATATAACATGTATACGTACATGTGTGTAAATGTAAATCACATTACCTTGCGTATTGAAGGATCAAAAAAACAGTTGTCTCTGTTTCAATATATGCATATAAATGAACCATATGTGGTATCTGTTCACATAATATATAAGCATTTGTGTTACCGCCATATAGAGATTTTTCTACGGTCTAGAATCATCAGAATCGTTATGTTACAAATTTCTCATCTTATCTCTATTATATTGTATTTAACAGTTTTTTGAAAAAAATGTTTTTTGTATAAATTTTATTTCTACTAAAACAATTCTACCATTTGCTAATACCTTTATTATCCTGTTACAATTTGTACGCATATCTGTCACAAGCATCACTGACTTGATTATTTTGAGTACTTTGTAATACTGAAGCTCTGATACCGGTTTGCTTATTATTGAGATATTATTATCTAAATGCTTGTTGTATAATTGTTCGGTGCGTGTTATATACTTCGATATCTTATCTTTTATAGTCGGTACTCTTGTGCTATCCGTATCGGACTGCACGCCATTCATAAGACACAATATTCCCAGTTTGTACTGTGTGAACGCTTCCCTGTACTCCATTAGAGATTCGTGTTGAAAGGCTGCGCTTATATGAGCAGCTGCTATCACAAGATACTGTGTAACTTTAGGCTGTGTTTGTGGGAGATTCAACTTTTCATTTGGTATTATCGAATTTACCGTTAAGTGATTGCTAATGTTATTGTTTAGGTTGTCAAATCCGGACACGTTGCTCAGCAATGCCGTGTCACTTTTGTGATCAAAACTTTTGCAGCTTTGATCTTCCCTTATTTTAACGCTTACATTCTGTATACTAGTAGCATTACTGTGAGATTCATTTTTTTTCTGAGAAGATACTGAGGCAGTTTTTCCGCAGATATTTGATAAACTAGAACCTGAAGCATTGTGATGTGTTTTGGACAAACACGATGTGTGAGAAGTACTTTGTGCCGCGACATCATTCGCAATTAAAGAATCATTCAAAACAATGATACGATCGTCTTCCGACGTGTCGGAACTTAAAGATTGCGCGCAATCACTGATATAATTATCCGCATGACTAGTTTCAAAGAATCTTATAAAAATATCACTTGAATATAAGTATGAATAACGCCCAACAAATTCCAAAAACTTGAGAGCATATTTTTTCCGTTCCTCTATAACTTCGGCCTCAAATCTGCCGAAATATTTTGACTTGGGAAAAATCGGGAAACTCTCTTTGATTCTTAAACGTTTGTGCAAACTGCTTAGTTCTGAATGAAGCCTCTTGAAGTCATTGTAACGCTTCCACACAGACACTTTTGACACCTGCTGATGAGAAAACTTCAGAAACACCTGTAATAGAATCAAATAAAAAAAGAACTGAACGCTTCTGCGAGATTAAAAAAAATTTATATACAATTTCTCGAAGCTGGTGATAACGTACCACTGATGTAACTTTGTAAATTGTAAAGCCTTTCTTGTGTCGTGTGGTTTCAGTAATTATAAAACGTCTAATCCACTTATCCTTCATGGGTGCCATTACTCAATTCATGTATGGTTTTACTGATATAACTTTAAAAATACCGAGATTTTGTGTTTAGTATAGTTGTGTAAAAGATAAATGAGTGTAATGCCATCTTATTTTGTGTTCGTTTCTTGTTCCACATTACGTACACGTATCATATGTACAGAATTGACATTCCGATATGACAGGTTGAACGGCACGAACGGTTTATACGTATTGGGGGAGTGAATTCAGAGAGAAAAGGATCGCACAACAGTTTGTTCTTTTTGCTCTTACAGCTGCACTTTGAGTGCATGTACTCGTATTAATTTTTCAAGTATCCTGACTCGGATAAATAATATTATTTCACAAGTTTGATTCCATCTTGTTTTTTAGATAAAAATGATTTGCTGGGTCGGAGTCAAAATCCAATTGAAAATTTCAATGGAGAATTTTCACATTCTCATTTTTCACATCTTCACAAATGTTTCCCCGTGTAATGGAGAATTACCAGCGTCTTCGTCGCCCAAGTGGCATATATCACAAACTACAAATTACAACTGAGTTGATTATAATTCTCATATAAATTTTCTTTTGACAAAATTAAATAATTAATTAGTTCCGCCTTTTCTTGTGGCAAATTAAACAAATTTTATCATCTAAATTATCTGTTGACGTAACAGAAAAACTCTGTTACTTTTTTTTTAAACAAGAACCTGAGGACTAGCAGTCAAAGACTTCACTTAGCAAAAAAAGATTTACCTATAAATATTAACAGGTCTTTGAAATAAAAAAATCTGTCGAACGATATTTAATTTTATATTTCGACCGTTGTATTTATATAGTATATGTTTTTAATTTCCACCTGCAAAGCGCCGTGATAGAACTGAGTGAAAAATTATGAACCGCGAAGTTGAGCCAGTAAAGCTTCATTTCTCCGACATTCAATGGTGAGCTGTCTGACCGCCGCAACATATTTACGTTGTTGTTCGACAAGAGTGACGAGTTGACGGCTAAGAGCGTCCCGACGATTCTTCTCATCTGCGCATCGTTTTTCCACCTTGAATTGAAAATTAATCGACTCGTTAAATCTGATCAATCTTTCAATATTAAATTTGTTAACATTGAAGTTGAATAACGCGCGCGAGAACATATTAGTTTGTATTTCGCATATTACGTACCATTGCCTTGTTACGTTTCACTCCTGCCACAATTGTTTCAAATTGTTTTAGGAATTGCTCCTTGCCACTTGTCGATGCCATAGCACTAGCACAAAATATATTAAAATGTATAACTGTATGTTAATATGCATATACTATATATATATGTAAAGTTAACATTTGTAATACTTACTCGTTATAATTATCCTGAATAGAATTTAACAACGATAATTCTTTACTCAGATACAGCTTTGTATCATCAAGAGTATTATATAACGTATAATATTGCTTAGTTTCTTTGTGCTTGGCCGAAACTGTAATAATATATGTTGTGTATTGAAAATTTTATTTTGAAAATAAGACAACGATTTTGCGGAAATAAGTTTGTTGCACAAGTAAAAGTTTATCGCTCAACCTTGATTATAGAGTTCCATAAAGCGTCGTTGATATTGTGTCAGTTCGGACCGTCCTGGGACATCGTCCAACTGTCTAGTTAACGTGGCGATAGTTCTGTTCTTTTTAGCCAATTGTAATCGCACTCGTGTTACAGCTTCTTTTTGCTCCTCATATTCCTTTACGCGATCCTCCTCTTCTACCGGAGCACCGTCTTCGATCTCTTGTAACATATCTCGCAGAAGATTTAAATCCGATTTGCAGTGCTCACGAAAATTATGTTCTTGCTCTTTCAGCCCATCGTGTACTGAGAGAAGTTCTTCCAATCGTTTGAAAATGCTGTAAATTTTTGAATGGAATATCTTATTTTTTACACATATATGAGTGATACGAAGAAGATCATCTCACATCTTCAGTAAATTGAGATTGTACCTGTCGTTATCGTTGATTCCGATTTCCTGAATCTTTTTGAACGAGCGCTCGATAGATTCTCTTCTTGTGCGATGTTCTTTTATCTTGTCCGATATCTCTGTGAGCTTATCTGACAAACTGTCTCTTTCCTTTGTTAACTTGCGGATCCTAGACTGTAACGTTGTTCTTTGTTTTTGTAACGCAATCAAAGTGCGCGATGAGTCTGTTGTGCCACTGTTCTACATAAGAACGAAAGTGTAAGGTTGTCTTATTTGTCATCTCACATAAGTTAATTATGTAAAATTAATCGCTCAGGAAGAAATTAAAACTGTTGTGTTTGTTGCGAAAATGATATACCTCTTCCGCAGAAGCGGACATGGCTGCGTATTTTTCCGCTACTTTGGCAATTTCTTGCGCTTGTATACCAACAATACTTCCAACTGTATTTATGCTTAAACGCCCCTAAAATAGAGAAAAAATTATTAGGTAAATAAAAGGAAACAAGAATAATAGTAAACTTTTTCGAAAATTGAAAACTCACTGAATTATCTTCTATGACAGATAGAGCGGCGGTAATTTGTTCGGTATTATCCTATGAAAATATTAACTTGTGTAAATTTTTGTATTGGTGTACAAAAGCTGATAAAGTTATTATTATTTTTTTTATAGTTTACAATACCTTTTCATTAGTTTCATTATTTGACTCATGTTTTGATGCAGTATCTTTGGATTCTGTCAATGTCGCAGATGTATCTTTAACAGTATCAAAAGGTGCTTCATACTCCAATACTGTGCCGATAAATCTGCTTGATTCATCTTTTACTAAACCTTCTTTTTGTTTGAACAAACGCCGTGGCTCGTAGGCTTTCTATAATAAGAAAAATCTGAAGTCTTTCCACACAAATTTCATTACGCGTTACTTTCGTGTATTTGTATACAAATACATTGCACCTTGATCAAACATAAATTTCGAATGACGTTCTTATTGCCAGTTTCTTTGACTTCATCATCTTCAGTGAAGAAATGTTTCTTGTGAAATTGATTTAGCGCAAATGATCTTACAAATCCTGCCATTTCCTGCCGCATCTCCATAGAACGTTTAACTAACCATTGTATAACTGGGAATATATGAATGCAGTCTAAACCTTGTATTTGATGTGGTTCTATGCGGTAGGGACAGTTCATTTTTGGAAGCATGGCCACAATTTTTTCTGTCAGATAACTACAACAGTTTACAAAACATAATAGTCTTTGTCACATGAACAAACATTTGATCATCATATATTGCACGTGATGTGATATATGAGACATACATCTTTTGACCTATTGTGAGATTCTCTTGGAAAAGCAAATCCACATCTACATCAAAGTTGCATGATTCTATACACCATGTCATGCCACCAATGACCTTTACTTAAAAATATTAATATTAAATATATATATAAATATTAAAAATATATAAATAATATATTAAATATATATAAATATACATAAATTACATGTGAGGTCAAAGTTAAAAATTGAGATTCATATTCAGCAAACCTTATCAAAATTTGACAGGCCTTTTATTCGTGCCCTGAAGTAACCTGCTGCGATAAGCAAATCAATAATTTCTTGAAATTTGGCAGTTTGCTCTTCATCTTCACGAACATCAGCCTGAAAAGAGATTATTTAAGATAATAAACTTTTATTAACTTTTTCATGTTATTTTGTTTTTTTTTAAATAATTTTGTCATTTGACAAGTGTTTGATCTTGCAAAACTTGCTCTTTTCCCAATAATAAAATAAATACATTGAATTGCAATTGCAGATGTTCATCTATTTACATATTGTCACGTTGTTGTATATAAAACGTGTAAACATTAAAGATATATATGTAAACACATACCTCCATACTGTCAAACCGCTTCTGTAACTTGTTTGAGTAAAACTTTGGTGTATACAACTTAAATCTTAACAAAATTATGCTTATTATTTAGGAAATCTGTCACGTGTCATATCACGTAAAATGTTAGCGTATCGTACGTAAGTATACATAATTTGTGATTTGACATTTATCATATCAACTTAAGGTGCAATCGCATGAGGTGTCAAAAAACTGAAAAAAAAAGTATGACAGGAGATCAACCAATCACAAATAAACGAGCGATTCCGCTCCGATTTTGTGTGACCGTCTCTTGAAACATATGCCATTCACATACGCACGCGCGAGTAGAGAAGCGATAGAGCCAATCAATACACTGCTTTACTACAAGAGTAAAATGCTGATTGGCGATCGCGTTGTTTCTTGTCTCGCAAGTCGCGTTCTATCTGCAGAGACCATTGAGAACAGAAAGAAAGATAGAAATGAAAAAGAAAACGGCGCCACCTGTTCACGATGGAACATTAGAATATTGATATTTTCCTTCCTCACACACATACGTGTATATATTGCAGTATATTTAAAAAAAGCATTTTGTATATTTCTCGTACATGCACAGATAATGTTTCTCTACACGTTTTATACTCTTTCTCATTTCACATTTGAATTACATTAGTGTTTTTCTATCTCCATATCTCTTCGGTTATGTGGGTTTTGTTTTAAAATGTATATGTTTACGGAAGTTGCTACATTGTTCCGATAAGAAGTGAGAAAAGCTGTTTGTATTATTATTCGCAAGGGAACGTTTCTTCTTAAAAAAAAACGCTTTGTTGTTTCTCTCTTTCGAAGAAATTGCATAACATTGTTGTAACTTCAGATGGATGAGGAACAAACAGAAAATACGTAAGTGTATGGAGAGATTTTTAAGATAATATAAAAAGTTTTTTTTTTTCTCACGTAAGATCTTTAACTTCTTAACATTCTGTGTTTTTGTTTTAGTAATTTTCTGCTCAGCACAAAAATTTGAGGCTAGTTTATTTTATGAGCACATTTGAGAGAGATAATCTTGATAACTTTTAAGATTTTTTTTATCGCGAAAAACTTGATACCTAAAACATTTTTTTTACTGAAAAGTCTTTGTAAAGACAATTTCAAGAAAGTCTATTTTTTTTTTTAGAATCTCCATGGATTGTTCAGACAATGTTGCTATACCTGCAATGACAGCTAATTTAGAAACTCTCACCATAGAGACTAACTCTCTACCTACAGATTCTAAAAGACTCCTTAGGAAAAGAAAACCTAGAGAACTTTCTATCACAATTCGCAATCGAAGGTAACTGACAAAATTTGTGAAAAAATTATGTTTATTGTCGTGTTATTTTTTCTTATGTTCTCAGAGAATTATATCTTGTACATTTTAATCTGTAAGATGTAGTCTCAAACCAAAACAGAGAATGTCCTCTAAGACTGATGAAGAGATCATTAAGGATTATTACTTGGATAAAAATATAAAAAGAAAAGCAAATGCTCTTGAAACAATATATGAAGAGAGTGATAATATAGATGATGATAATCTGATCAATATGAGTACCAAGAGATTTAAGAGAATGTTAATGTTCCCAAGAGAAGTCACAGCTTCTAAACTAAAAAAGAGACATGCTAGAGTACGCAAGGTCTTTGGATCCAAGATTAAGTATAAGAGGTGCGGTAACATGCAGACTCTAGTAGATAAATTAAGTACCATTAGAGAAAATTCACCAATGAAAATTGACAGTGAACTCAAATGATGAGTTTCACTATGTTGCATTTGTATTTTGAAAACCAATGATATACTTCATAGCTGCTAAATGAAATGTTTGTATCATGTAATGCATGTGTAAGTTGGTTTAAAAAAAAAAAGAATTCAGCATTTATATTATTAAAGGAAAACGTATTTTTGTAATATATTAAATAATAATTTTATACACATATGTTAAAAAAGAGATATGCTAAAGTTAAAAAAAAAAGTCCTAAGAGCAAAACAAAAACAGATTAATGAACTGAAGTTGTAGGAACACTTTGGATTTCTAGATACCCACACAATACGTGCTGTTAGTTCTCGAATATAAATCATTAAGACACAACGATGTAAAGCTTGGAAATTTGTATTATTTATTTTATAATGTATGTGTATATGTAATTAATTTTATATAAACAATTCGTATTTGTACTTTCATAATTTGTACTTTCACTATATTTAATATAATGAATATAAAATTGCAGCAACATTTGAAAACCTATATAAAATCAATATCCTTGATATTTTTACATATGCATCTGTTAATGCGATAGTAAGATTCACATTTAGAAAAATAGTACTAAATAATTTTTCGTATCATGGATAAGTATTGAATACTTTTCCTTGTCATGGATTATTAGTCATTTGTACAACACATCTTGTGGCAGATTTTGCACAGCCATCATACTGTCTCAATCGAGCTTTGTTCTCTTCATATTCTTTACTATCTAATTTAACGCAAGCACATCTAGATGCACCTTGTGCGCTCGTAGTCTCGAACAGCATCCTCGGCGTTCCTATCCAATCTCTTTCAAGGCCACCGCTGTTACGTAAAATTAAAGTATTACAATTGTAATTTATTTTTTTTTTTTTAAAGATGTGCTGGTGTTTAGAAATTTTTTGATATTGAAATTACTATCAAGCTGATTGAAAACATTCTTTACCTTCTTTTGGTACACCAGAATACTGTACCACTGCCTGGTTTCCATTCTACGTTACAGGGTGGGAACATTCTTTTCTGTTCTTCTTCCAATGATTTCTCTTTTATTGCAAGTTGCAACTTTTCTTGAATTTTCTCGATTTCTGAGGTTGGACTGCCATCTCTGTCATAGTATCTACCATATAATTTTCCTGGAAAATATCAAATAACTTTAGGAAATATTACTCAGAGTTGATCTATCTCACGTGCATTGTTTATATCTCGGAGCATAGCATATAAATACAAATCTTCTAGTATATAAAATAGATTATATCTTTTGTTTTTTATATAACTTGCTTTAGTAGTTGATAAAATAACAGGAAAAAAATTCTCTTGATTCTCAGAACAATTTTATCATGTGGTAGATCAACTGCTATTATATCTCACAGCAGCATTATTATACCTTTGTAAATATAATTTTTGTTATAAAACTGCAGCCAATCGTCCAGTGACTTAACTTGTCTTGCGGACAAACTCGATATGTCATCTGTCAAACCTTTGTCATCAAACTCTCCGGTGATAAACGCTAAGGAAGCGTCACGACCTAAGACACAAATTAAAGTTCATATATAACGAACAATATATTTTAACTGTCTCTAAGATGAGTTTTATAATTACCAGTAAATGCGTGGTAGCTTCCTTCAGGCCCGTAATGTTTTTCGCCTTTTGTCACGTCAAAAACTCGGCCTAAAATCGCAAGGTACAAACCGTCCTTCATATTTCTATATTGTTTTAATTCACTTACGGTATATATTTTGTCCGCATTGGAATCTTTATTCAATCCAAAATATCTCGTATCAAATCTATCTGTCAACGTTTCATCCGTATATATATACTTTACGATTGTTGTTAGAAAATCGCGCGAATACAGAAAAGAAATAATTCCAAACAGCAGCGACAGCCACAGGTACTTGGAGAACATGATTAAGTTGTTTACAAACACTTGACAAATCCGACATGCATGTATCTCTTGCGCAACTGAAAATTCATAATTCCATAAAAAAAAAAAAAAACTTGATCGACTACGTTTTCTCCGTGCGCGTTCCACGCTGTGCGTGTCCAGCTGGAGAATGGAGCAGCTCCGTAAAAAATCCAGAAGTCCGGTGTTTGTGTTCGGAACAAACGTCTCGTTTGACGGCGATTGGCGATTTCGAAAAGCCGTGACCAATCGGCAGGCGTTGTCGAAAGATCGCCATTGGCTCGTGCCGTGCGTGAAATTAATCGTGACCAATTGCGCACAAACTCGACCGTGCTACTTCTTGACGAGACATATTTTCCTAATTACCTCGATGACTTTTCGAGCTTCTCCGAAACACGACGGGACTTTCTAACTTTCGACATCTTTTCATTATTACATCGTTACGACAAGTAAGACTTTTGTAACTACAAATTAGTCGGGAGAGAAATTTCACAGATAATTTTTTTTCACACAATTTGTTCCGCACATATACCTGTATTATTTTACAAAACACGAGGAGATGAGATAAACAGAAGCGGGGAGAGGGAAAGGTTATTGTCCGCGACAATAGAAGCGGAGACGCGCGACTGGAAACTCACACGACCGCTTGATTTGAATTTGAGAAGAAATCGCGTTTCAACAAACAGGCGACCACCAATTCGCCACCAAGTTGGTCCGCGATATTCGCTTCAGCGCTGAGATAATTTAAAAAAAAAAAAAAGGATTATAAGGTACGTCCTTGATAGCCTATATAAATAAAAAACTTATTTTCTTATTTCTCACATTCGAAGTTACACACATACGTGATCGGAAAAAAACAAAACTGCCGCAAGATTCTACTTCAGAGCTTTGTCTTTTCTTCCCAGCTCTCGATATATACGCGACTATATCGCAACTGCAACGCGACGTCCATCAGCTGTGACACTAAAGAGCGTCACCAGAAGTAGCCGGCAAATAGTGAATGACGTTTACCCCCGTGGAGGACCGCGGTCACGCTTGGCTAACCAAGACAATCGGGATCAACGGTCAGTCTTGCGTCGACGTGTATCCTTATTGCACCGGGAGAGCGCATCCGCTACTTTCCTTCGTACTTTCCTCGTCATTTCCCTTTTCGTCAGTTTCCTCATTTGCGTCTCAATAACGACCGTGTCCCTCACATTTGTTCGAAACAAGAAAAATCGTTGGCAAACGAATCTGTTGATAAGACAAAAAACACAAATTGCAACATATCGCGATCCAAACTGTGGTGGTGACACTCCGTCAATTAACATCGACATTTCATTCTTTAACGCGCGCTGCCGCAAATTCCACCTCTTTTGCGTTATTTACCTCACTAACGATGATGATTTTGCTGTTCTCGTTATTTTGCCGTTTGTTGGAAAACGCTTTGTGGTAAATTCCAATTAATCAAACAACACACGCGAACGCGGCGCACACACACTAGCTAATGACTAATAGAAAGTATTTTTAAGCACAAATTGCACGTTTACCGTTGCACGAGAAATCGTTTGTAATTGGATCCGCGTGAATTATTCATGGCGCTTGTGAAATTAACGCAGAAGTGAACTAGCCGCGTTTATCACTCTTGCCGCTCCATTTTTTATTCTCCGTCCGGCGATTAAATGAACAATGCGATCGCGCGCACACACAATCGTGCGATAATTAAAACATTTCGGCGAACGAGTGTTTTATCCGAAACAACGCGGAAACGCGGAGAAAAAAAAAGCACTATCAGTTGAGAACAGATAAGACCCAAAGATTCGATATGCCCCGGTTAGTAGTTGTTCGACGTACACTCGGTAAAGAATGAATTGAAGGACCGCGCGAAACACATTATGCGCAAGTCTTCGCGGCTCGTGTTCGTTCTCTCCACCGGTGTGACGGCTGTGATTGTTTGGTTGTTGTTGTTGTATCCGGAATTTCTCGCCACCGATAAAAGGACCCCCCCCGTGAAAGAACTTGCCGTGTTCCGAAAGGAACGGACGCCCATCGTCCGGAAGCAGCCGACGAAAGTAATGTCCCCCGACGAGTACCTGATGAGGAGAGGCTTTTCCATTCAAGAGGTTTTTAATTTTGTAGTTTTTGTTTGTTTGTTTTTTTTTTTCAATGTTTTCATCGGGAAATCCGACGTTAACGATCGGTGTTTTATTTGAGACGCAAATGTTCGAAAAACATAATTTAATTACAAAAAGGACTCGCTTTGTGTGTTGTGCTACGCAGGTAGAGAACATGTCTCCCCTCGGACGGTGGTTGTTGACGCCGGAAGGAAGCGCACCCCCGCGATCGAACGCTGCGAATAGAAGTTATTTAATTCTCATCTGGAAGCACGGGCGATTCCTAGAACGCAGGCATATCAGACGTTTCACGTCGACCAAGTTAGTTGCAGTTTTTAGCGGCGGTTTATCTTTATCTCAAAGTGTGTCATTGAATAAAACGTAAATTATCTGATAATATCGGAGTTGAAACAAACAAGAATTTTTGCGCGTTTGCGATAGAGGCTTGACTATCTGCTTTTGCAAACATTTGATAAATTAAAAAAAAAAGTCGTATGTTTTAGATTTTCACCGTGGGAACAATGCACGGTACAGAATTGCGCGTTGAGCTACGACGAGAAGGATCTGCACCTGGCGGATGCTGCGGTGTTCCACTTGCATCTCACGAAAAGCCCGTCGGAATTACCGGCGAGAAACCGAACGGATCAGCGATGGATTTTCTTAACGGACGAGTCTCCCTATCATACGTTTTTACACGGCAATCAAAAGTTGTCGGATTACGACGGTATGTTCAATTGGTCCATGTCCTATCGAATGGACAGCGACGTGCCGGTTCCCTATGGAAGAACGGTAGAAATTGCCGCCGGCGACGTGTCGTCAAACGACATCGAACGATGGGACGTCACTGTGAAAACTTCCAAGACCAAACTGGTCGCCGTGATGGGCAGCAACTGCGGCAGTCGCAACGCACGGTGGATCTACGTGAAGGAGCTTAAGTCGTTGCTTCGCGATCAATTGGACATCCTCGGGAACTGCTTGAACGGCAACCGCACCGTCTGCCCCGGTCATTTCGCTCGTGACTGCGACGCTCTGGCGAAATACAAATTCTACTTGTCGTTCGAGAACTCCAACTGTCGGGAATACATGACGGAAAAGGTGTTTTGGAACGCGTACGGCAAACTCGCGGTCCCGATAATAATGGGAGCGCCGGTGAGGGACTGCTGGCGATATCTGCCGCCGCACTCTTTTCTCCATGTGGACGATTTCGCGAGCGTGAACGCGCTCGCCGATTATCTAAGATATCTGGACCGCGACGACGAGCGTTACCTCAAGTATCACGAATGGCGCGGTCGTTACAAAGTGATCAACGAGCACGGCTACTTCGGCAGCGCGTCAAAGAGCTACTGTCGCGTCTGCGAGGCGCTAAACTACAACTCGGCCGAGACGAAGGTCTACGAAAACCTCGAGCGATTTTGGAGCAAGACGAGAGACTGTTCCAGCAAGTAATGTCGAGCAATTCACGTTATTCGTGAACATCTAGTCCTTGCTATAACAATAAGTTACTGTATATTTTCGCGTTTGTCTCTTTTTAGATTATTTATTATTTATTATTTTAACGAACACAAATATAAGAATGTAGAACTTTGAGAATCAATCGTTTCCGCGCCGCAATCCTCGCTCCTTTTCCACTTTGTATTTACCACGCTGTCTCATGTGATCGGACGAGCATGCGTACGATAGAACTGATGCGCGCCGCGCATCTCGCGAAGAGGGAGGGAAAAGAAAATAGAACTACAAAACTTGCAGGAGGATATCTCGTTGCAACGTCGTTGCTTTTATGAAAAAAACTTTAATAATTAATTGATTATCTGTTGTATATATATGTCGAAAGTCTAAAGAGAGCATGTACGCGTGTAAAATTTATAAAATTTTCTCTGCTGCGCGTGTGAAATTTATGTATATAAAATGAAAACAATGTAGGGTATAACGCGCCACAACAAGTTTCATATATACTTGTTATCAAAACAGAATTACTACTAGAGCTCTCAAAGACTCGAAAAGACAGATCGACCTTGCGTAAATCCTCACGATATGCGAGAACAATGCAATCTGTTGTTTTTACAACGTTTTAAATTCGATGGGATAGCTTTGTGAAAAGCTCGTAAAAATCTTGAAAACCGATACGCGAGAGAGAAGGAATGCTCTTCTTATAGCGTAAGAAACTTTTGGTGAAGAACCTTTGCTTTCGCACATTTGGAAATTTTCCCGTTAAATCGCGGCGGTTAACGAGAGGGGGGCGGAGACACGATTAGAAGACAAGTAGGATACAATGGTGACGCATCGCCGGTAGAGAGTACAACGTGTGTATATTGTATGTATGTACAAATTCTCGACGTAGGGCGGAAGCAGATAGCGACAGACGGCGACTCTGTACGTTGCAAATGGCAGATCGTATGTGGTGACACTCCGTCACTTTGTTTGCATCGCGGTGCGGATAACAACCGTTTCTTGCGCGGAGGAAATCAAACGTCGAGGATCTACAACGCGAGAGAGGCGATTCGTTGGGGCGCGTTGACCGAGCCCTGACCTCGAAGAACGCAAGAGAAAAAGAAAGAAAGAGAGAGATAGAGAGGGAGAACGAGAGACACTCCAAGAGCAAGCGCCTAAAACGAAAGAAGGGATCCGAGTCTCCGAATCGAATAGAAAAAACGATGGCGAGACTGGTGGACGTTTTGCGGGACGATGACCCGACGAAGCTGGCGTGCAATCAATTGCCCCTCATTATCGACGGGAACGTGACGGTGAGCGCCAAGTGTTGCCCTCCTGATCGCCGACTCCTGGAGCACGACGACGCCTTACGTAACGTCGCCTGCTTCCGCATGGATACCTTTAACCTAAAATCCACAAAAATTCATTGTCGTGACAGATAGGCGAGAAGTCGAGAAAAACAAAAAAACACAAAAAAAAAAAAGAAAAAACAAAACAATCAAGATATTTGATGAAACTTGTACACACAGTTTTAGAATGTACCTTCGTTTGTTTATCATCGTGATTGATGATCTTTCATCTTGTCAGAAGGTAGATTAACATCTCCGATGTGGAATACAACGAGGACAGTGGCAACCCTGCTGTCTTTACTTTTGCATTGTGCACAGATAATCGCGTCTTTCTTCAATTTTGTATTCTTGTCAATCTGTTACAAAAGGAGAAAGAACGGAAGGATGTTTCATGTATTTCTCACACTCATCTCAATTATATAAATTTATTAACTAAGAGTAAAATTGCACGCTATAAAGTTGAAGAAACGTATTTGATTTATTGTTTTTTTTTTCTTTAAGATGATTATGGACATAAGTAACTTAGAAGCAATTTATGATAGTCCTTTGGTTCGTGGCAAACAACTGGACGACTTCATGAGAAAGTTTGATATGCTCACAAAGAAGGAGATTAAGGCATCTTTTAAAATCACCTGCAAGGACATAGTCGCTATTTTAGGCCAGGCGGAACCGTGTGTCGGTTGTAGGAGAAGGTCAGTTGTTGTTTTCTTTTATTGTAGGTAACACATTTGTAACATTTACATTGTGAATGACAGTGAGATATTCTATGTTTGCAGTGTTGAAAGATTGTTCTACGACTTAATGAAGTCGGGACATCCTGCCTTAGACCCATTGGTTATTACTCCTGATGGCACGCTCTCAATAAAAGACGAGGTTCTGGAATCGCCTCAGCAACTTTTTACAATATTGCACGGACACAGGTACGTCGACAAACTGCAAAATCGTTATTGAAGATAATCGCGAAAATACCGAGGACACTAAAAAGGAAGAGTTGTTGTTTTTGCCGCGGTGCAGCGCTAGATTAAATAATTTAGTAGAGAAACAGCCGAGAAATCGAAAATCACAACGATGTGTGTTGCACTCTCTGGAGATCCAACGGATGCGTCCGCCGCCGAATGCGTGGAGGGAAGTGTGGGATTGCATGGAATTGCCGTGCAAGCAGGAACTGGCTTTGATAGAGACCGACACGCTTGACGACACTTTGGACAATTATCTTCGTAAACATAGGTATGTAATTTCGCGTCTTATTACATGAAAAATCTATACGTGACATGATTTAACGTAACTGCGATTTGCGTAAGGTTTTGCGCAGAGTGCCGTAATAAGGTATTGTTGGCGTCGTCTCTTCTGACCCGTGAACCCGAACCTACGAAGGAAAAAGGTTACGTGGCAGTATTATATTCCGGAATTAAACGTTGTATATCGGAAAATCACGTCCACTTGCCAGCGATCACGGAATACATCGGTACTCTCATCGGTCGGGCGCAACCGGAGCTCATGGGAAGGTAGGAATTTCCGAAATAGCGCGTTATCGCGTCGTCTTTTATACATATATCGTCTATTGGAAGAAGCAGAACGAGACGTTGGGTTTCAGAGAACGCCACGCGAAAACGCTAGAAATTGCTCAAGAAGAAGTACTTACGTGCTTAGGTATATGCATAGCGGAACGATTGCACAGAGTCCACCGACGTCTGAAGGAGGGAGAAACGGTGTGTAAAGTATTAGCCGCGGTCGCGGTGGACGCGTTATCCAGAAATTTTCAGGTAAATCTCTTTATTTGTTCAGTTCATTTTCATTACTACGAGATTTTTAAAAAATGTGCGTGATACATAAATGTTCGTTGCAACAAAATTGTTTTGTACAGATGGCAGTCGAGGTGAAACAAGGTATTTCTCAGTTAGAACTGTTGTACGAGGAACTCACGAGGGAGGAAATAGCGAAACAACAAAGGCGTGAGAAGTTACGGCTGAAACGTAAAAAGAAGAAGGAACGGCGTTACGAGACGGAAGAAAAGGAAAATTCCTGTGACGTACGTTGCAAGTGTACACGCGTAATATATTTCTTTTCCAAGTATATTACTTTTTTTTTGCCACATCACAATCAAAATATATGGGTATAAAATTGATACGATTATTAATTCAGCGCTAAATTGTCTAACTTTTATCGCGTAGTGTGCGAGCGAGAGACAAAGTGAATCGTCACCCTGTACCTGTGCAGAATCCAAACCGACTACGCAAAACATCAACCGTCACAAGGTACAAGCGCGACAAACGCGATTTTTATTAGTTTTTTAATTATCTCGCCCGTGTTGCGCGCACTTTTGACCAGCCCCTGTCTCGTCGATCTCAGTTGCAGGTCTTGGATCCTAAAAACAAAGGACCGCCGACGTGTAAATGTCCGGATTGTTTGAAGAAAGCGAAAGCACCGAGTACATCGCAATCACAAAGCAAATCAGAAATCGCGGTGGCGTTCTCTACGAAAAAGACGGCAAACGCAACGAAAAGCATGAGTAAAAAGGACACAGCCGAAACGAAAACGAAACTTAGTATAAGTCAGTCAAAGCAAAGTAACGTATCGCATAAAAACAAACAATTACCTCAAGAGGATTCATCCGATACGTGCGAGTCTTGTAAGGTGATTACACTGATTAATTCGATATCTCTCTGTATAGAGAGCTTTGTTGTTACATTATCGATTTTTTTACAATTTTGTGCGTTATTGTTTTTCTCATCTCAAGGAAGGTGAAAAAGTGAACAAAAATCAGTATATCACAAGGATGACGCATTCTGATGACGACTGCAAAGATTCCAGAAGAGAGGAGGATTTGATAGATAGCTGGGAACGAAGTAAATCTAGTAAATATAACATGTGGATACAAGTGACGAACTTCACCGAGAAGAAAAAACATCATTCTAGCGAGCAATCGTCCCAGGATTGCGGGTACTCTTCTGAGCACAATATCAGTAGTTCTTCTCTCCCTAGTACACCGGAAGGCTCCGAGGTGGCCTGCAACGATGAATGTTGCAATCACGAGGGAGCTTGTCACGATAAACTTAATCATTCCAGTTCTAGCATGTCTTTATTGATGGACAGAGGCCTGACGCTTACGCAAATGTTGAAGGTAATTGAAAAATTTTTACGTGGCTTCGAGCGTTCTTGTTTCCTCTACGGAGATTTTTTTTTTTTTACTCCAATTGTCGCAAATTGTTGTCCCATCCAGGATTCCTATGTCTCCGATGACGACGAGGAAGAAAGCTATATTCCAGCGGAGGAAGTATTGGAGTTCAAGTCCCGGATGTGTCAACTCGCGAAGAAACGGCAGGAACTCCGACAAACTTTGAAGGAACGTTTTGCTATGCTGTGCAGCCATCAGAAACGACTTTCTATTCTTCACTAAGAATTCCTACTTAACTATGGTAATTTGATATAATAATTTTTTTTTTCCTTTTGTACATTAATTTACTGCCGGTAGCAAGACACGATAGATGATGTATTTTGAATATAATTGTTATGATTCAAAAGTTGCGCGCGACTTTCGATTTGAATAAAATGGCTAAAGATGTGTTTACATCGAAAAGAAAAACATAATAGACATATAAAACACTGTTTCTCTTTGCAATTGAAAAAAAAACATTACATCTCTGATAGAAACAAAAAAAAGAAAAAAAGACTACGTCGAGTAAATGTTAAGATGAACTCAACTCTTTGATGCGCTTTACGCGACTATTGAATAACTTAATGACATAGATCTCTGTAATAATTAAAGTAGTAGATACACGTGATAGTGTGACAGTTTGGATGTGAACATCTTTTTAGAACCGCGTGAATATGACGGATTCGATTTTGCTGTGCTGAGTAAATGCAAATTGTTACAGACACAGGCTCTCCAGTGACAGCCGACGCACTTGAAGAGTATTATATATCTCAATTGAATATTTCTTGAAAATTGTTTTTACACGGCGACACAATAACATGTGGACTTGGATCCGTACTGTAGGTAGAGTTACATTTATGATGAAGAATTATATTGAAATCGTAATATATATAAAAAAAAAAAAAAAGAGAGAGATCAATGTTGCATTCCAATATAATATATATACATATATTTTATTATATTTCGATTTACATCCCCTTTGTGTATCGTTACGCGCTATATGAGAAAGTTCTATAAAAAGAACTTTTTTATCATAAATTATAATATATTTACATATATTGTATATATATGTGTATATATACATATATATATATATATATATATATATACAAAAAATATATATATATGTTGCATATACATAAAAGTTATTAAAAATATTTAAGTCGCTACATATATAACTGGCTAATACACATGTGTGTTTGAAATTCAATTCGTTACCAAATTTTCTTCTCTTGAGCTTCGTTGTTTTGCATATGTATGTACACAATCATCACAATAGCGATTCTCACAATGGCGTTTTCTTCCGTGTTAATTGAACGACAGAAATATCAAAAGATCTGCACCACCTACCTTTACTGTTCCTTTGAATATTTTCGCGTTTTAGTTGAAATGTTTCGAAAAATAACTAAAAAGTGGTTTGATCTGTCCGTGTTACAATCGTCTTCAAAACTGCTTAATCGATATACTGCGTGAAGCACAAGCACGCATTCGTTCCGCCGAAGCCAAACGCGTTTTTCAAGGCCGTTCGTCGCGCCGTCGTTTTCCACTTCACTCTCTTATGCGGCACGACGTTCAATCGCGTTTCCATGTCCAAATTGTCCAGATTCAAGGTAGGCGGTATGATGCCTTCCTTGATCGCCAGAATTGTGAAGGCGGCTTCCAGATTGCCAGCAGCTCCTAACAGATGACCGTGCGCTCCCTTCGTACTCGTCACCGTCACGTTTTCGCTGTGCTCGCCCATCAGCGATTCGATTGCCTTCACCTCGATCGCGTCGCCCAATGGCGTGGACGTGGCGTGCGCGTTCACGAACGTCACTTCCGAGGTCTCGATGCCGGCGTCTTTTACCGTTCGGTCCATGGCCAGCAGCGCGCCGATGCCGTCCTCGTTGGGCGCTGTTATGTGCGACGCATCGCCGGACAGACCGTAGCCCAGTAGCTCCGCGTAAATAGGCACGTTCCGGGCGAGTGCGTGGTTCAGTTCCTCGAGCACAAGTATCGCGGCTCCTTCGCCCATGACAAAACCGTCGCGATCCCGGTCGAACGGTCGTGACGCTTTTTCCGGTGTGTCGTTCATTGACGTGCTCAACGCGCGAAGCCGACAGAACGCAGCTATGGCCAATGGGCTGATGCAGGCTTCTGCCCCACCGCACACCATGACGCTCGTCTCGCCGCCGCGAATAAAACGAAACGCATCACCTGAAAACACGTCGTGGCGTATCACGTAGCGAGTACTTTTTTTTAGGGAGAAGGAAAATTTGTAAACGATCGAGAGAGGGTTTTGCTATTACCAATGGCATGCGCACCCGTCGCGCACGCAGTCGACACAGAGTGATTGGGTCCTCGAAAACCATATTTGATGCTAATCTGACCAGCAGCCATATTCGGTAATATCCTCGGCACAAAGAACGGACTGACTTTGCTATATCCCTTTTTCAGAGCCTCGTACGTCATGCACACATCCACCAAATCAATCATGCCAATTCCCACTGAAACTCCGGTGTCACGTTTGTCGCTCTCGTCGTCCGGTTTCCACTTTGCATCCACGAGCGCCTCTTCCGAGGCTATCAGTGCGTAAGCAGTGGCAGAACACATGGTGCGAAGTTCGCTCTTCGTAAAGTAGGAGTCGATATTGAGTTCATTGGAAGCATTTCCTTTTGGTACTGACGCAGCTGTTGAATATCAACGATTATTTATTTAATTGTCGAGGAACAATATATTTTGAGCAATTGCAAATAGATGAAATTAATAAAATTCTATTTGCGTATATAAAGTATTTATTTAAAATATTTACGTAATAAGATAAACTTGGCATATATTTCTTCATGAAATGAGAAATGTTTTTAAATGGCTCACCTACTTTACACGGTAACTTGTCATAATCTGGTTCACAGAGTTTCGTGATCCCGCACTTGGAGTCAATAAGAGCTCTCCAGGCGTTTTGCGTTCCAACTCCTAAGGGACACACGACTCCTATTCCGGTCACAACAACACGTCGTTTGGACCTTGCTGCAGTCGTCAACGACCGGCTAATGTTTACAAGTGGATTGAACATTCTGATAGACTCTTACGTAAGCTTTTTCTTCAGTGATAAGACACACCATTGATTCCTCATGATTGTTAAAATATATAAATGTAAGAAAATATATTATTGAAACATGTACGATATATCAAATGGCGTTAAGTCGCAACATTGATTGAGGTTATGTGTTGTTATATTATCTCGTACCGAAAACGAAAAGTCGATACATGAAAATGACGCTCCACTTTATCGACCGAAGAATTTCGCGCTCGCTTTTCCGAATAAATCAAATTTTAATTTTAATTTTAATTTTAAAAGAGTAAACGTATAATAAAAACGTAATAATTTACATAATAAATAAGAACGGAAAGGAAGGGAGAAACACTTGTACAAAAAAATCTGAGAAGGATGTATATATATATATATTTATATATATATTTATATATATATGATTAAAAACTTTATTATTTGCTTTACAATTGGGAAAAATATATGTATAATGTTGCATGTACCTGTAGGAACTTTAGGGTACAGATGACGTTGAGGACAATCGTCGTTTAGGGTAACGTTTAGGTTAACGTAATTAAAAAAAAAAAAAAAAACCTAAAACGTGAGAATACATCACCAACAAAATAAAAATAAAAAAAAAAAAATTTTTAAAGCACTATACTCTAAAGCTAATGTTCTCTTAAATCTAGACTCATACATACACGTTGGTAACGCGAACGGAATATAAAATATTGCATGTGAATTATTTCTACATAATTGTAAGCAAGCACAGTCTGGTGCTTGCGCAACCTGCATTTCATATACACCGACTCTATCAATGCCTTCTCATATTAAAGGTTGCATCAATTTTCGATAAATCGAGTCCAGGGACAATGAGCGTGTCTACATAGACAGTTCGTACATCACGAGTGTAGGCTTTTCAAGAGTTCCGACGCAAATCTTAAAGCAGACCCAAACATTTGTCACAAAGAAGCGTCAAGTTGTAAAATTTTTTTTTTTTATGTGTAAAATATGTACACACAGTACAATTGTTTGGAAAATTTAAAATAGAAAATTTTTTGATGAAAATCCGTCAGTGTACACAATTTATGTAAATTTATGATTTTTTAAATGTTCGATAGATGACTTATATGCGACGTACAAGTTCTCTGGAAACGGTGCTTCATGTCAGATTAAATATTTTATATAAAACGCGATTCTATCTAATTGGGCGACTTGTGCGCGATTAAATCTACACTCACGATGTACGAACTACAGCTACTGCAACGTTTGTCCTCTAAGTAAAATAAATAGATTATTTCGACTCGTTGAGAATTGGCGCGACTCAAATGTGAGAAACTAGTGGAATCGTGTGCACGTGAAAATAGATAGATTACTGATGGTGAAAAAATAACTGGATTGGCGTGTTTGTTTCAAAGCAAGTTTTGGGAAGATAAATTTAAAATACAATTGAAATTACAAATTTTTTTTTTTTTTTAGCTAAAGATAACAATGTTTACTCCGTATGATTGTTTCAATTAATATAAACGTGATTTTTACTTCATGAAGCTGATTATTCGACAAATTACAAATTTTTCTTATCCAGTTATTTCTTACGGTTTAAAAAAGAAATCTTTTACTTTTGTGATCAGAAAGGAAAAAAGAAAAGGAAACGGAAGGACTGAATTGTTGTAATAATGAAAAAAAAAGACAACATATTGTATTCCTCTAACATAAAAATGTCTCTCGTTTATGTAGAAAATAAAATTGTACACAGGAGCGGATTGAGCGGTGAACTGACAATATACATTGTATACCATCTGTGAAATAATTATTACATTTTTATAAAAATGTTCATAATAATCAAATGTTATTATGAGAAATTTGTATTTTATACAAATATTTTATATATTTTTCTATAAATGTATGTAAAATAATTTGTTTTTCAATACTTTTTTTTTTTAAAGTATCTTTTTCAATAGTTTTTCTTATAACAAATTTGTGTCAATCCGCTCCATACATCAAAAGGACATTTTTTAATTTCGACGCTGAGAACAACTCTGTGTTAAATATATAAAATTATATACAATACACGTACAGGGTATATCGGAAATCATGGTACAAGCAAAAAGTAGGTGACAGTTTCCGACATATCCTGTTTAGCGCGAATACTTGGTACTTGGTTTACTTTACAAAAGCGTCTCAGAATTAGTTTCTTCTTCATGTTCATTTTTTTTTTTTTTTTTTT